ACTTTGAATGATCAACAGTGGCGAGCAGATGCATTGCATAAAGGCGCAAGCAAACTTACATACATACATACATACATACATTTTTAACATATGCACATCTGTATATACACGTATGAGATTGCATAAATGCATAGTTTGTGCATGGATGTATGTATATGTACGAATGCTTGTGTGTGTGTGTGTGCGCTCTTAACTACAAACACCATTGACTTGTCTTCAAGCGCAGATTTTCATTTTCTGCGAAAATGAAATCATGCAACTGCATATGTATACACAATCAAACATATTTAAATACTACATACATACATAGTATGTGTATACGCAGCCTAGAGGCATGCCATATATACATACATATGTATATAGAGGCGCATATAGTTTTACCTGCCGGAATTACTAACTGTTTGCCGCTTGCTTGCGTGCTTGCTTGCTTTTCCTTACTATCTTCCTATCAAAGGGCTCTATTTACCCTCTGAAGCATCCTTAGCAAATGTAACTTTGTAATATTTTGCCATTTGCATATGTTTGTATGTATGTATGTATATATATATATTGCCATGCGTTCTAGTGTTTAAATACATATAGTTGTTGTTGTTGTTATTTTTAAAATATGCTCAACACTCATGAACAACCACCAATCGACCGGCCAAGTCATCAACAGTCACAAGCGGCGCACCAACAAACAGTCAGCTCCATCTTCATGAGCAGCATCCGCTGCATAACTACTTTGCTGTCGCCCTCCTACGTTCACTCAAACGCTTGTATTTTTGCTTTACGTACAATATCCATATGTACGAGTACATACATACATATGTAGATACATATATTCATAAGTGCACTTAAAGATGCATTTCTCGGTGCTTGAGTATATTCTGAGTACACTCTTTGCCTGTTGCCACTGCCACTGCATACTACTACATGTGCGTTTGCATGTCTATATGTGTATGTATCATATGTATGTAGTCGAAAGAGGTACCCTATTGGTTTCTTCTACAGGTAAAATCATTGAAATTGTGGCTATAAATGTTCGTTAAAAAGTCCTTTTGCATACTTATGTATATACACATGCATGTATACATACATATGTGCATATATATGTACAATAAATGCCTTTGAGCTCTTATGCATACTTTTAAATAAGCATATATATATACATATATATATATATATGTGTATGGATTTACGTACCTTGACAATCAGTGTAATATTTTTTTTTTCTTCATTTTACGTTCTTCCACTTTACCTCTACTCTACCTACTATACATGCATACAACATACAAATGTACCTTTTGTTTTCACTATTGTCCCATTAACTGCATTCCCTGTTTTCTTTAATTTTTTTTTTTTTTTACCTGTTTTCTTCTCGACTGTCGCTATATTGAATAATTTTGTTTTCTTCGGCGAGCTGCTCGGCTTTGAAAACAACCACTTTTCATGCTAATAGCTATGCTGATGATTTAAAATACCTATACATACTTACACATATACATATATACATACATACATACAGAAGTATACGTCCTTTTAGTGATTCACTTGTCCAATTGCTGGGGAAGAAGAGAGAAAAAAAAAGAGGAAAAACCTTTGCATCTGGATAAATCAGTAAGTGCAACGTCATCTTTTTTAAAGTGGCAAATCTGAAACTTGATTATTTTACTGAAGTAGTGCAAACGTCAAAGTCAATAAATGAATTCATAATAATATTTTTTTTTTATATAATTTTACATATATTTTTTGAAGACATTTTCTACTTATATTCACGTTTTTTGAGCACAAAACTGCGGTTTTCGAATATTTCAGCTTAAGAAATGTTTAAGTTGGAATATTTGAAACTGTTTTTAGTAATTTTTTTTTTTACAAAAAATCTGCTATTTTTGGGAATCAGTTTCAATAATTTGTTATACGTATACATCTGTACAGATATATTGCGGTTATATAAAGAATTTCCTTGTATTTTTAAGAGCATTTTCGAAAACTCTTCGTGATGCAAAGAATACAAAATTTACCTAAAATCGTAATATTTAATAATTATTTAATTTATTAAAGCTTCCAAAATGTTTTAAATTTTTGTTACTATTTTCTTGAACTGAAATACTATATAATATTTAATTCAGAACATATTTTTTTTAATTTCCAAAGTTTTTTTTTTAATATTTCAAAATAATTTTTATGTTTTTCAATTTTCCAATTGTCTTAAATTTTTTAGTTTATCTCATTTTTTGAACTTAAAAAAATAATTTTTTTTTCTTGATTTTAAAGATTTCAATTTTTTATTTTTTTCTCCTTAGGCATCTTAATTTTTTGTTGCACTTTTATCGAATTTGCTATAATTAAAAACATATATAAAAATGTTTTAAAATTTTTATTTTCGTTTTCTTAAACTTTTAAAAATTGCTATAAAAAAATTAAAAAAAAAAATGAATTTTCAAAAAGTTTTAATTTTATTTCAGTTATTTGTATTATATTTATGATTTATTTAATTTTACATTAAATTCAAATTGTTTGCCGGCTTTAAGTCGATATAAATGAAAAAAGAAATTTCAGTCTTGTTTTCCGATATATTTCGGCAACACGTCGGTAATTGTCTTCGGTGTAAGATTTTTTGTTTACACGTCTTACCCTTGTGATGACGGGGTGTGTTAAACTTAAAATTTTATATTTTGATTTTTTATTGCACATAAAAAATTTTTGGTTTACAATTAAAAAAAAAAAAACAAAATGTGTTAGTTTTTTTTTCCTTTTTTGTGAACGTAATATATTTCAGTTTTAAAATTTTTTTTTAGCACAGAGTAAACAATTTTGGTACGAAAAAAAATCACACATAAATGTAAATTTTTCTATTTTATTTCCATTTTTTGTATTTGTAATTGCACGTGAAATGACCCATTTTTTGGTATACAATTAAAATAAGATCAAAATGTTTTAAATTTTTTATCCATTATTATTTAATTTTTTTTTGAAATTGATTTTATTTCTTTAATTTTTATTAGTTTTTTTGGAAACGTAAATTCTTCAACTTCTATTATTATTATTGTTTTTTCTTAATTTTGTATTGCATAAATTATAAAAAAAATTAGTATATAATAAAAACAATTCAAAATGTTTTAAAATATTGTATTTTAATTCTCTTGAACTTAAATATTAATATAATTTTTTTTCATTGTTTTCCATATAAATAAGAATTTTGGTATACCATTAGAAAGAAAAACAATATTTTTTCGATATTTTATTTTTTTCGGGAACTTAGAGTTGTAAATTTTTAGTCTTTTAATTTTTAGCCTTATCTTTTAGTATGTTATTTTTTATATTTTGTAATGTTTTCAATTTTTACCTTACTTTTAGCTTAAATAATTTATTTATTATCTCATTATCTCTGATATTATGTTTCTTATTTTTTTCGGCTAATTAATTTTTGTTTTTTTTTTTTAATTATTTCTTATTTATTTTTTTTTACTTTTTTTAAATTATTTGTTCTTTTTTATTTGGTTTTAATTATTCCTTATTTACTTTTATTTTTTCTTTAATTATTTCTTATTTAGTTAATTTTTTTTTTAATTATTTCCTATTTTTTTTTAATTATTTCTTATTTATTTTTATTTTGTTTTCATTTTGGCTTATTTTGTTTGATTTTTATTTTGTTTTATTTCCTTTTTTTAAATTTATCCAATTATTTTTAATTTGCAAAAATTTAAATTTTTAATAAATTCAATACAAAAATAGTAAACGTTTGGACCTGACTAATATTTTTCATTTCAATGTGTTGAGATCACGTGTTCTGCAAAAATTGGCAACTCTTATGTATGTATATGCTTTACGCTATATACATACGTAGATCTACAATGTATTTAGATATGTTTTATTTGTGTTCCATGTACATATGTATGTATGTCTGCACAACAAATTTAGAGCCGTTCTTAAGGATTCACCGTATGTATGTATATACTCAAATAAGTATATATGTATGTATCTATCAAATACCACATCTGCTTTCTTACTACAAGCGACTACACACATGTGTTTTGTATGAAACGCGTCCATCATATACTGATTTATCGCCTTAATATCCTTTCACTACACACATGCATATATGTATGTATATACACATGCGTATCTCCGTTGCACTAAGTAGCTATACCTGGCTATAATTTGTCGTCAATATGTGCTTATACATGTATAGATTTGTTGTCATTATTGTTGTTGCTTATGTGCATGGCAACCGCCTTTTCTAATTTCTAAATCACTAGTTATTGTTGTTACCCTCTACACTACACTCCGTCGACCTTAAAATGCATTTCATTATAAAAATCTGTTATTTTTTCGAATTTCTTTTCCATGCATAGCGTGTTTCCTCTTTGTCTGTGTTATTAGTTTTGATTTTTTTTTCATCCAATATTTAGCTGTTTTCGGGAAGTTGCAATTCATACTGAGACGCCTGTGTGTGTGTGTGCGTGTGTGAAACGTGTATCGGTTTACCAATTCGAAACTACCTGCTAATTTTTCAATACTGACCCTTGACATGCTCGTATATACATACATACGAATATGTACCGATATATAATATAACCGCCACTGCTGGCTGGCGCTGAACAGCTCATTTACTGCATCACTTCTCTCTCCGCAATTTCAGTTGGCCGATGGTATTCAAACGAAAACGTTCTTGCTATTCCACAGTTCTGCCTTGAATATCGGTGTAGTGAAGAAAGGCACAATTTTTGTGTTTGGTATTTATTCTTTTTTTCTTTACGGTGTTATAACCCGATTAAGCAAGCCTCCGAAAACAAAAATTTGGCGCGATTATGTTTGAATATGATGAAAATGAGGTGAGCGAAAGTTATTTTATCGTGTTTGATTAGTTTTTTTTTTACTCAAAAATGCAACGCTCTCATTGCGTACAAGAATGTGCTGCGAAGTTCTTCATTAACCAATGATTTTTATAAAGAATGTTTCACATTTATGTTTTAATAAAATGTTAATTATTATTTTTTGCTTTTTTATTCTTCCAGAACCCGATGTGGGTATGCCACAACATGAAGCTCAAAGATATTTCCTTCAACTACTCTCCGGCGTACAGTATTTGCATCAGCATGGCATTGCGCATCGTGATTTGAAGCCAGAAAATCTGCTGTTGGATGAACATGACAATATAAAAATATCCGATTTCGGCATGGCAACAATGTTTAGGTACTAGGTATAAACATTTTATAATTATTAGTGTTGTTTAAAATGGTTGTGGATTTCTTTTACATTAAAAAAATTTAAATGAGACAAATTAAAAAATAAAATAAAACAAAGCAAATTAAATTAAAAGAGAAATAAAATTAAATTAAATAAAAACAAAAAAAATTACAACAAAAAAGAAATAAAGTTACAACAGAAAAAAAAAATAATTAAAATTAAAACAGAAAAAAATAAAAATAAAACACAGAAAAAAATAAAATTAAATCAGAAATAAATAAAAATAAAACACAGAAAAAAATAAAATTAAATCAGAAATAAATAAAAATAAAACACAGAAAAAAATAAAATTAAATCAGAAATAAATTAAGAAAATTGAAGCAGAAAAAATCAAAACAGAACAAAAAAATAAAATTAAAACAGAAAAAAACACAAAACAGAAAAAAAATTTAAAACAACAAAAAAATAAAATTAAAACAGAAAAAAAATTAAATTAAAACAGAATCAAAATAAAACTAAAACTTAAAAAGAAATTGAAACACAAATAAAATAATATAAAATTAAAACAAAAATAAAAAAATAAAATAAAAAATAAGAAACAACTAAAAAATAAAAAATTTTATAAAATAAATAAAATAAAATAAATAAAATAAAATAAATAAAATAAATAAAATAAAATAAATAAAATAAAATAAATAAAATAAAATAAATAAAATAAAATAAAATAAAATAAAATAAAATAAATAAAATAAAAAATTAAAACTGAAAAAATAAAGATACAAAAATAAAAATTGAAACACAAATAAAATAATAAAAAATTAAAATAAAATAAAAATAATAAAATAATAAAAATAAAACAAATAAAATAAAACAATTAAACTAAAAAAATTAAATTAAATTGAAAAATATTAAAATTATATTAGTTAAAATACATAAAATAAAATAAATTAAAACTTTAATTAAAAAAATTAAAATAAATTAATATGATATGAAAATTGATTGAATATAAATATATACAATCAAGAAAAGTAAAAATTAAAATCAAAATAAAAAATTAAGAAAACTAAAAATGAAAATTAAAATAAAAAATAAAGAAAAATAAAATAAAATATAAATAAAAATAAAATAAAAAATAAATAAAAATAAAATAAAAAATAAATAAAAATAAAATAAAAAATAAATAAAAATAAAATAAAAAATAAAGAAAAATAAAATAATAAATAAAGAAAAATAAAATAATAAATAAAGAAAAATAAAATAAAGAAAAATCAAAGTAAAATAAAATAAAAAAGACAGAAATAAGTAAAAAAGAGGAAAAAAATAAAAAAGAGAAAAAATAAAAAATAGTGAAAAATAGAGAAAAAAATAAAGGAAAAAGTACAAAATAAAGAAAAATAAAACAGAAAAAAAAAGAAATTAAAAATGAAAAATAATATAATAAAATAAAAATTAAAAAAATTACATTGAAAAATGAAGGATACTATGAAATAAAATATATTTAGTTAAAAAGAATTAAAATGAAAAGAATTTGAATAAAACGAAGTAAATCAAGTTAAAAATAAAATAAAACAAAATGAAATAAAATAAATTAACTAACAAAATAATGAAATTAAAATTATATTAAAAGTTGAAATAAAATATAAATTTTTGAGAAAATAAAGTGAAAGTAAAGTAAAATTAAATAATAATAAAATGGAAAAATAAAACAAATGCAGTGCAAAAAAGTTTAAATAAAAAAAAGAAAGTGAAAAACTAAGTAATATAATATTAAATATTAAAATATATGTATATAAATATGTTTGCACCTGCTGAAGCAATTTTCGGCAGCATTGCGTAAAGCCGTTGTCAAAGCCAAGGCTCGACAAATGCGATCCTCATAAAATAATAAAGTATGCTCATGTAATAACGATAAACGAATAAATAGAATAATAAAAATTGCATGTAATAATACAAAATTGTGAAAATAGATAGAAATTAGTAAAATGAAAAATACAAGAATAAAATTAAAAAAAAAAAATTAAATAATACAAAATTTAGAGACAATTCGTACCATTTAGAAAATGTGCGTTCAATTATGCCAAGAGATCGTGGATGAAACTCAAAAGTCACTTGTTTGAACTATAACCTTTTTTGTGACCATTAATTATAGTTACAAGAGAAAAACTGAACAATTTGTTGTATGAAGTTTGTTGTTTTTTTAATAGCACTCCTACACAACGAGTTAGATATGCTTTGGCTAAATCAATTCGGCTGCTCTGTAATCTTGTTATTATCGATATAAAGTTTGAGAAATTGAAACAAAAAATATTCATCAACATTCACATGAATTTATGAAAAATAAGGGCAAAAAAAGGAATATAAACAAATCGAAATCTGTTTTTTTATTAAAAATTTCTGCGAATTTTTTATTACAAAATTCTTGATTATGCCAAAAGTGTGAATAAAAAATATGAAGTGTAAAAATAAGAAAAAGCAAAAAAAAAAATAAAAAAATTTTTTAAAATAAATAAATAAAATAAAAATAAAGAAAAAATATGAATCAAAAATATTTAAATTAAATAAAAAATGGTTTAAAGTAAAATTATAAAAATACATAAAATTAATTAATTAAAAAAAATGTAAAAAAATATTTAAAACAAAACAAAAAGAAACATTAAAAAAATATTTTAAAATATTAAAAATAAAATTATAGAAAAATATTTAAAATAATATTTAAGAAATATATTAAAAATAAAATTATAGAAAAATATTTAAAATAATATTTAAGAAATATATTAAAAATAAAATTATAAAAAAAAATAATTCGAAATTTATGTCAACTTTTGATATTGTTTTTTAATTTTCGTTCAGTAAGAACTTATAACAAAACTAATAGTATGGCCGCAAAAACAATTTTAAAATTTATTTTTTTAATGATTTAAAACAACTGATAAACAAACGTATAAAATTAGATCTTTTTTATATTTATTTTTTAATAATTTTTTTTAACCTTAATAAGACGGAAATAATACGGAATACTTATACAATAAGTTGTGGTACAAAGACGTTACGACAACCACACCAACAACAGCAACCAGAAATCATAAAAATAAATTCATGAAAAATAGAGAAAAATGAAAATATTTATAACAAAAATATGAAAAATTAAAAACATATATTTTGTATGACTATATTTTTATTTTTTTTATTGCATTCCTTCATTTAGTGAAATAATCTGCTAAATACTTATGTGTATGTTTACAATTTTTTCAATATTAGTCCAATGTAATTCGCCATAAAATGAAAATGCGTAAATTTTTCTCATCATTTGTACATTCTTTTTAATTAACATATTAATATAAAATGAATTCTTATTAATTTATATACGCAAAAAAAAAATCAACTTTATTAATCTGCTTAAATGCTGATTTTCACCAAAAATCGATCAATTACTAATTTCCGTTTTTGTGTTTTTTTTTGCTATCCCCTTCTCTCTCTCTTGCTAACAAAACAATAGATATAAAGGCAAAGAACGCTTGCTGGACACCCGCTGCGGCACATTGCCATATGTTGCGCCCGAAGTGCTTATAAAACCCTATCATGCACAACCCGCCGATATATGGTCCTGCGGCATTATACTGGTCACTATGCTGGCTGGTGGTGAGTTTAACATATACATATATATTTACATAAATAGAATTTAATTTTTACTATAGAAAAAGTACAAAAAAAAGAATGCGCTTAAAATTCCAGTGTATTTGATTAGAGTATTTTTTTTTTTGCTTTTGTTTTATTATTAAAAAAATGTATATGTATGATATTAAATCACACATTCAGTATACATATTTTGAAGCATGCTACTTTTTTGTAATTACTCGTATATTTTGTAAGGAAATCACAGTGCTTACATATTTAAGTGTTCATACATAAATGCATTATTATGTATGAATATATATATTTGCGTAATAATTTACATATGTATGTGGCAACATTTTTACAAAAAAAAGCATTCATACACATATGTAGCATTCACATTTCGTCTATTCCCTTGCCACATTCTGTTGCACAGCACTTATTCGCAACAGGCTGCTTCCTTTTTAAACCCACGAATCCTTCGAAAGAAATGCGAAATTTTATAGTTTCATATACTATGTATTATATGTATATACACAAGTGTAAATTGTTCATGCATCGCTAGCTGGCACGCCCAACTTGCTCTCGACACATATCCTACATATCATAATCCCCACACCGGCAACAACACACACAAACATTTCGGTATCAATATATCCGTCCAACTCGTTATTCGTCACATCCGCGCTTCCTCATCAATCAAGTCGGAAGAAGAAACACACATTTCATTATTTGTTTCGGTTAACGCGTTGCACTTGCTACACTACGTACGTGCTTCAAATTTGTATTTTTTTCTTTGATTTTTGTTTGTTTTGTTTTTGCGCTGCCTTGATTATCGCCTCCAGCACGGATTTCGACGCACCGCCCCCCCGTCTTGCGTCTGTTGCTCCATTGCGGTTCGCCTTTACATTCTACCCACTCATGTGCAACGCATTAAAGTATCGTTTGGTATTGTTTTTGTCATGTGAAAATTACGGTATCCCAACCAATACTCGTTGAAAGTACATGTAAAATGTTTTAGCGTGAGTTTGGCATTAAAACTGCGCTTTTATTATTGGAATGTGTGTGTGTGTGTGTGTAAATATGTTTCCAGTTGAAATAATTTTTTTTTCTTGCACCATTTTTGAAAATCATCATCAATCAATCAGCAAATCAATCGTCCAACCAGCCGCCAATCAATCTAACAAATCATTTTTGCTGTGTCTTTGGTATTCTA